GGAGCCAGGCCCACACTAAGTCACACAACCAAGATTTTATGTTGTAAAGCATGAAATCATTTGAATGCCAGAATTCTGAGCCTTCATCCTGGAAAATAGAAAGGGGACTAGTGGAAAGTGAGGGAAGCAGGGAAGGAATAATAATGTGACTAACCATAAATATTTGTTGCCTATATAACTATGTGCCGAGTCCTGGGTTAAATGTGTTATACATACAGTCTCATTTAATTCCATCTCTTCTTTATGATATTTTAGGCAATTATACTATTATTATCTCCATTATTCAGATATGAAAACTGAGGCCAGGTTGCAGGACTGAGGAAGCCATGATTCAAATCTGTTGACTCCACAGCCAACCTCTGATTGAGTACTCAGTACTGTGTCCTGGGCCCTTTGTGCAATTTTATCTTCACAATGCCTTGTAAAATAGGCTGTCGTATCTCCATTTTAAAGATGAAGAAACTGAGGTTCAAGGATTTATCCAAGCTTACACAACTAGCAAGATTCAGCCCAAGGTCTGTGTAGCTCTCTCTCAAGCTCATTTTCTTCCCATCATGCTTTGAGGTCAGACTATAGGTAGAGGGGGGAGATCATTTGGATGGAGTTTCCCTCCATTTCTGGGCTCCAGTTGTCTTAGAGGTTAATCCTTTAACTCTATAACCATGTGACCACTCCCATCATCACTATTTACCCGCTTCGGAGATATTGGGATTTCTGCCAGATAATGTTCACTAGATTCCCCTAGCATGTCACTGAGGCTATTTTTCACACTGGCTGGGCCTAAATATCAGCCCTTCTTGTGTCACAGCCTAACTGCAGGGAGAGTTCCCTCAGCCAGGTTTGGATCAGTCATGCTCAGGCCTAAATACAGAATGGAAGCCAATGCCATAGAAGCATATTTTTTTTAAATGAGTGAAGGGTTTATGTCCAGCAGGAATTATAGTAGATACCAGTCCACAAATCTACCTCAGAAACTCCTGAAATCAAGGAGGGCCACTAGGAATCTTATTTTTATAAATACCGATTGATTCTCTGAGAAAAAGCACTACAGGAATGTCAGAGCTGATCAGGACACTGGAACTGACTTCAACAAAGATGGAGAGAGGAAAACTGGCCCACACTCTCATTACATCCCTCCTGGACTCTAGGAGGTTGGATGGTTGACATATCATGGAATCCCTTAAGACCCCACCCCATTTCTCCTCCCTCCTGACTTAATCTGGAGGATTACCGGCATATATATAGTCCATATTTAGGGAAACGGTCAGCGTTCACAGTGGGACAAGATGGTGGAATAACATAAACTCCTGGTCTATGCCATGAACCTGAAAGACCAAAGCCAAGAAGCCACGCTTCCAGATTCACCCATTCAATCAATAGACATTTGTAGTTGAGAGAAAGCAATGAAGTCTCCGAAGGAGCCAGAGATTCTTTGCAATGCAGAGCCAGCTGAGTCACAGTGAGGACTGCAGAGAAACTGCAGGAGGCTGCCCGGGTGCCCACGGGGAGTGAGCCCATCAGGTTTTCATGTTTCCCAGGACCAAGGCTGCCATGGCAACAGCCCTATATGGTCCCAGAGCTTCAGGAAAGGCAGGAAGAGAGGGTTACCAGAAGGTCACACTCTTTCATATGGAAAATCAGGAGAATACATAGGGGTATGGGAAGGGGAGGGCCCACATTCCTCATAGTCAGTGCACATCCAGTCTACAGATGGTAGACAGAGTGAGTCTTTGCTAATACCTCTCTGATCATGTCATCCTTCCCTGACTTTCAATTACTCTTAGGGTGAAGACTAAACTCATTACTGTGCACTACGTTAAGCCCAATTTATTCCATGTACTGCCCCTCCATACTCTCTGGAGTTCAGAGTGTGATTATTTTATAGCCTGTAAACTCTATGAGGACTAAATTCCTGTCTTTTCAGTCATCATTTTATATTGCACTTAACTTATTTGCCTGACACAGATGGTGTTCAATCAGTATTGGTTGGTTGGTTGGTTGGTTGGTTGATGAGTAACTGACTGAGACACAATATTTTGGCAACAGGGTCCTCTGGGTGGCTCAGTCAGTTAAATGTCTGATGCGGGATTTCGGCTCAAGTCATGATCTCATGGTTCCTGAGACTGAACCCCATGTAGGGCTCTGCCCTGATAGCACATAGCCAGCTTGGGATTCTCTCTCTCTCCCTCTCTCTCTCTCTCTCTCTCTGCCCCACCCCTTCACTCTCTTTCTCTCTCTCTCTCAAAACAAATAAATAAACTTAGAAAAATATTTTAGCAACAAAATTAGGTGGGTGTTGGAGCAAATACCTCTGTGATTGTAACCCAATCCCCATTTTCCCTGTGGTTGGGACAGTATGAGAGACGGGCATAGATCATACCCCAATGTTAAATGTTACCAGCGACAAGGGCTTCCATCAAAGACTTACCAGCAGAAGTGAGTTTTACTAATTCAAATGGGTTTTTAGAAAGAGGTGGGAAATGGGCCAACAAATGAACATAAATGATATTTTACTCACCACATAGCCCTAAAATAACTTGGAGGAACACCAGTTCCCTCCCTTTTTTCCATGATGGTATAACCCAGGGTCAGGAAAATGAGGTGGCAGTCCTGAGTAAAATAGGCTCGCCCTGTTGCCAACAGGATGCCAGGCAATCCAGTATGTCTAGAGAGGTTCTATGAGGCCACCGTGGTCAGGGTTCACTGCCAAGTAGTATCAGGCCACAGTCCTCAGAGTGTATCTCATTTCTGCTAGCCCTGGATATGTGACAGTTTTAATTTTGGTTCCTTCCCTATCGTGGTAGGCTTCACGGTATCAGAGATTCACTGGAGATGGACTTTGAACATAGCATAACGTGGAGGGCAGAATAAAAGATAAGTGGTGAGGAAGGCAGGGCACCTCAGTAGGGTTGGTGAGCACTACGTGCAACCCAGGCCACTCCTTGTTGAATAAGGAAGTATTTCCTGGATCATGAAAAAGAAAAACTGGCACCAGATTTAACACGGTGGCAATAAGGAACTAACGGCACATGTGAATGGAGCTCCTGTTGGCGGAAAGACCAGTGATCGAACGTGGCTTCATTGCTTAAACAAACCCATGCAAAGGTCTCTATAGAGCGTTACTATCTTTTAACCGTAGAATTTTAAGATTAAGTATGAGAGCGATGTTGTTTACAAGGAGCAGTTTTTTGCTGTATCTTCCAGTGCTAGTAAAATATCAGCAACATGTTAACTGTCAGGCCTTCCTTTGGATACTCAGCCCCACAGACGAGCAACTGTTATTGAAAAGACCTGACATGGAAGCCCCAGACATTGGGAGAGAGATAGAAAGATTTAACACAGATTCAGTGAGTTTTGCTTCTGACAAACCTCACTCTTTACACAGGAGTAGGCAGTTTATTTTCTCAACACTGGATTTCACAATTATTATCTTAAGCTCCCACTGTCTCCTACTTGCTAAGAAATTCTATTTGTTTTCTGTTTTTATTTTGTTGCCTTTTTTTTTTTTT